TACATCATCTTCAGCTTTACTTGTGCCTTGAAACAATTGTCTGATAAACTGAAGAGCCTATTACGTGTACTTATCAGAAAATTTACTCAAGATGCCAAGCAAATTTTGGCGTAAAAGAATCAGCGTCATGGGAAAAGTGATTCAGACTGTCGGGGTAACGCTGGGCAGCCATGCAGGGGTTTGATACACTGTTCTAGACATTTAGAGAGGAAGGTCATATATTTAGCATAAAAATGGAAAGGAAACTACTCAGAGCTCAGAATTATTCAGTGCACCGGAGGAGACAGAAGACAGACAGGCCATTTGTGTTGTGTCTCAGGAGGGTGAGTACTCGTGCTATTACACACACTTGCTGCTCACACACGCCCTCCCATGGTTATTGTGTAGCACGGGGAAGGAATGGACACTTGAATCCACATCTTCCGCCAGGCTGTGGGCCTGCTGCTTGAATCTCCTTGGACTTGGGTTTTGCTCACCTGTTGTTCTGTTATTTGACCACAGTATCTGTGATTTGTGCCATGTTGTTTTCCCTCTTTAGCACTTTGACACTGATTAAAAACGTCCTTCCCAAAACAGGCATGTTTTGCATAAATTGTGATTTTTTTTTTTTTCTGGCTAAAAGAAAAAAAAACTTTTCAAGTCTTCTTTGATCATCACCTTTAAGGGAAAATTAATTCAGCAAACCGTAATATAGATGTGTACTTTTTTTCCATCCCATTATTTTTTTCCATCCCATTATCCCAAGGCCAGTTTTATGTTCAGACTGAGTCTCTAGAAAATACTGATCAGAAGCACCTGTAATGCCATTGCGCTTGCTGCAGCATGCAAGGCTGGCTTGCTGCTCATTGCCAGCTTCGGGAAAAGGTCCATCATGGATTCTACTTGGAGAGGGAACCTGAGCTTGGGAGGAAGATGATGAATATGGACACAGCTTGTACACATCCCCCTTGAGTGCCTGAGATCATCCTGACAGGCTGCTGGGAATTACCAGGATACACAGAACTTTAAAGTTAGTATTACCCACCAGAAGGCACTCGGTTGGTTATGATGGGAAGTGAATTTTCCTCCCCTTTACATAGGAACTCTTCCCATTGCAACTGGGTTGGACATTTTACACTTAAGAGAAGCATGCTGTGATTCTAATTTACTGTCTTCCTACCCTCGATCCGAGAGTCCCAAGAATTACACAAACAATGGGTGATGCTTTTAGTTGGGTAGCACCTGACAGATCCAGATACGTTCTCTCCTTTAATGCTGTGATGGTGGGAACCAAGTGTTTTGCAGTTAGAGAATATGAGTTCCTGAGAGATCAAATGATTTTTTTCTCCAGCGTTACACAACTGGTTAGTGATAAAGCTAAAATCTGATTTTAGGGCTGACTGCAAATGTAACAAATCTCTGAGAGGTTTGATTTCAGAAGTTATGGGTAGTTAAATGGAAGGCTCCAAATTAGTCTGCGTTTCAATTGCTATTGTCAAAATTGCCATAGTTACATACAGTTACAACTGGAAAACTCATAAGAAATAAGAAGTACTCCAGTATTCAGCAGTTCTGGTAAATTAGATATTTTAGCTAAAAGAAGCTGTATCAAATAATTACATAGCATAGTACTTTTAACACTAAAACAATACTCAATGTAATTTTGTCTTTTGGTGATTTAGAAAACACTCTAGATTTTTCTTTAGCTTGGCACAGTTGCACTGTATAAATCAGCCATCATTGCCTTGGCTGTGTTACATGGTAGGTGATAGAACTTGATGTTGAGGGGAAAGTATTCAGATGCTTTTGGTTTCCCACTCTGGTGCTTGCAGTGACTGCCTATTCCATTTAAAATCCAAGTCCTTAGAGCCAGGGATTTGGCTCAGTGGTTCTACCACCTGCCTTGCAGGTGAAAGATCCCAGTACCACAAAATAAAAATCCAAGTCCTTAGCTGGACCTTCAAGTATGTGCATGATTGACGCCTGATGACTTCCTCTCATGCCACTCTTCACCTAAACATCCAGTTGCCTTTCTTGATGAGTAGACAGGGAGGAGGTAAAGTGGGTGCCAACTGCCTAATGGAATGGTTGTTGAAGGTTTTGGAAACTCACCTCTGCCAGTTCTCAGAGATTGGAGAAGAGAATACTGATCCATGGAAATTTTTGCCATTCTGATCTTGCCAAGTAAATACTGAGGACCTAGCATCAGAGCATTAGTTGAACAACAAACATGAGTTTCAATGTTTGGAATGTAGATAAGAAAATAACAGGAAGACCATTTAACAAGAAGATCCCAAGGAGGGCTTAGCAAGTCCTCAGATCTAAAATGATTCGTTTTCTAGGAGAACCAACTTGAGGGAAGACTAGGGAGAGCAGATTTTCACTACAACCAAAGGGCTCTGTGCTACAGCCAGAAGAACCTCAGGGCAGTGGATGTGGGACCCACTGGGCCGCACAGCCAGGGTGAGGGATGCAGGCCACGGCTGCGGCTGAGAGTGATGCCTGTTAGTCTTGCAAACGAGATCTGTCCCGTCCACACGCATCCCTGCAGCCTTTGAGGCCTCTTAAAAGAGTGTAGAACTAAACTGTGTCTTTTGTTCTCTTTTCGATCTTTTATTTCTGGGTATGCATATTGGAGAGCTGATCATAAAAAACAATCCCGTGGTTACACAATTTTAAACTTGTAAGCCATTCCCGTTCCTTTTTGGAAGCAGATTTCTCTGATCCTTCCTAAATAAACTTGTCTCCTAACCTGTGGCATGTGGGATGGGGCGTGGCCACATCAGTCTCTATGGCCCTGGCCTTTCTCTCTGCCTCTTCCATGTGTTAGGTCAGAACTAAACCAGAATAAACATATGGACTTTATGTTCCAGCTCTCTCTTCTGGAAGAACTCTAACGTGTATCACCAATTGCAGATTTTGCCAAAAATCTTGCTCCTGCCTCCCTAAATCAGATACTAAAGCATAGAGAGCATGTGACAAAGATTTCCATTATTGTCCAGTTTGCTTTCTTTTGGATTTACTTTTCATTGGAGTTATTTTTTAAAATGAGATTTGAATTACAATTCAACTAAACTTTTCTGTTCATGCCTGAAATCAGAGTCTCTATCAGCAGGGCCCACGAGTTTCATTGCTTTCTAATCTTCCCCAAAGGACAGTAGCAAAGTGAAGCAGAGGGTGGAGAAAAAGAGAGAAAAAGAAAGAGAGAATAAGTGGGGAGCCATTAGAAAGATGGAGGTTTTAACAGAGCAGGCCATATTAATTTTACTACTGTCTGAAAATCTATTCTCTAAGAAGAACCTGTGTGTCCCTCCACTGGGCCAGAAGCTAGAGATTCTAAATCCTTCTATCCCAAAGGGAAGTGCCCTGGCTTACTAGGGAAAGACACTTGATTAATTAAAGTTTGTGATAAACTTGCACATAAAGATTCCATGAGAGCTGCTCCAGAAAGTTCCACACCTTGCTGCTCTAACCCCAGCTATCTCTTAGGACAAATGTCAATGATGACATTTCTCAAGACGGAGTTTTATTTTGTTATGATTGCTATAACAAGGAAACTTGAGACTGAAATTTTCATTATTTTCAATTTTTGGCATCATATCTTTATTTCTAAAGAAATAGATCCACAGAGCTGTTACAAGTGCTGAAATCAGGCCTTTAGCTGGTCTGATGTCATGAGTTAAAATAGCTGATTTCCACTTGTTTTGTAACTATCAATGCTCTGAGAAAAGCAAGAGAAATCTGCATAGAGTGACAGCCAATATATTTCAGGTATTATTCGAGGTCTTTTAAATTTTACAAAAACATTGTGATTGTTAGGTGGGAAACGTGAGACTCAGAGAGAACGAGATTTCATCTCAAGTCTCAAAACTTAACACTGATCATCTTAAAAAATGCTAAGTTTGCGTTCCATGGATCTTGCTACTATATTTACAGCTTTATAAAAGTTGTTCACCGGCGTAAGATTCTTAGCAGTTTCACTCAGCCCCGTCAGTGTTCCTCGCATGGTGAACACCACGCCCTGTTGTGTCAAATGTATTCCATGGTATCTTCTTTAACACTCTCTCCCATGTCACCGAAGGTCAAATACCTGCTTTTTAGGAGGGTGTTTGAGTCCCCCGAAGTTCTCGGTTGCCTTTTAGAAATGCCCATCTTGCTGTCTGGCCTCGAATTTCCACCCGTCAAATGTGAAAATCAGGGCACATCCGGGTCAGACTCCTGCGATCCGCTGTTCTGGGAGGGCGGCGTCTGCGTCGTGCCCAGCAGGCTCGGCTCCCAGTGATGGAGAGAGGCTTCGCGCTTGCCAAGCACGGAGACACCGGGGTTTCCCAGGCTAGCTGAACACTAACACAACATTGTCAAACCAAAGAGCATTCTCCCACCGGCCCTGAACAATCCATGGTGGTCAGCTGCCAATAGCCCTTGACTGAAGGCCACCGTGAACCGTCCCGCTAGACGTGACCTCAATCCTCCCGCTTCCTGGCGCTCCTCACCTGTATCGTGGGTCTTCTCAACCCTAAAAGCCATGGGAGGGACTGGCCTTAACCAGGCTTACACCTTTCTACAAGACCTCTGTGTGGCAGAGTCAAATTGCATTAGAGTACTCGAACTTAAAACCCAGAGGAAAAGCGGATATGAAAACACCCTGAGGTCTCCTAACATATGTACTGACCGTTGTAAGACTAGGCACTGCCGCTCTGCAGTGGCTGCCTGTATGCGGCGTTATGCCCAGGGCAATTAAATTTGCCTGTTTTTTATTACTGAAACCAAATGTTCGGCCTGAGTTCATGAAGAAAATAATTCCATTACATGTGATTCACCTTTGAATGGAGACGCAAGCTGAAACTCACATTTATTAGAGAAATAATCCACTTAGCAAGCATGTGTTAGGTCCGTGTGTTCCCCGGGGAGTGCACAGAGATTTCAACATGCAAAATACATTTGCCAAAAGAAAGCTGGCTTTTGAAAAACAACTGCCCCGTTTGGTTTTGGTTTTTAATAAAAGGGGAAAATGAATTGTGATGACGAAGAACAAGATTCCCAACGTCAATGTAGGCCCCGGGCTCCTGGTCAAATGGGGGCCTCGGGTGTGGTCTGCAGGGGACCAGCTACCCCGGGAGCTGGCACCGTGTCCTGCCCCTGCCCCATGGCATAGAATCGATACCATTGATCAATACCACCCCCCTCCCCGATTGCCTTGGGTTTGGCCAGGTGAGGAAGTGCCTGCCACATTCTTCAGTATGGTCGGCACTCAGGAAATCATGTCTGTTTCATCTTCGTGGTGAGGTTTTCAGTGCACCACTGACACAATCTCTACCTAACAGTGAACTCAGCCTCACCCATGTCGAGCACGGTGCCCGGTGCCAACCCAGCCCACGCTCCTTGCTCTTCCTCCCCACTGGGAAGGAGCTAGGCAGCCCTGCAGTGATGACCACAGAGACGCGCACTTTGGAAAGGGCATTTTCAAACAGTATTATACCCACTCTGAGTGGCCCTTTTAAAGAACAGTAACAGGCAAGGCAGTGGTGGTGTGCCCGCTGGTACCGGGCACTGCTCTGGCCAGGGACTCGTGCCTGTGACCCTTCTGTGAGAAGCTGCGTGGCTTCAGAGCCAGACCGGCTCTGCTCAAAGACTTGCTCTTTCTTCATCGCTCTGTTCGGACTTCAGAAGAGGAACTTACTCTCTTTGACTGCGTTTCATGGTCCACGGACTGGGGCACTGGTAGTACCTTCTGCGGTCCTTGAACAGACCGGCACAGGGCCTGGCACAGATGAGTATTTAACCATCAGGGGCTGCCTTCGCCTCTGTCCCAGCTCACAGGGAGAAAAAGACCAAGGTGTCCGCCGGCACAATGAATCGCAACTGCAAATAGGACCATAGCTCAGACTCTTCTCTCAGTGCACACGTAATCAAGTTGAGATTTGAATGCAGATCTTTAAATTCCAAAGAAAAACCGGGTGTGGTGGCTCACACCTGTAATCCTAGCACTCTGGAAGGCTGAGGCAGGAGGATACACGTTGGAGTCCAGTCTGAGCAATTTCAGAATTTGGTGAGACCTTGACTTAAAATATAAAGAAGGGCTGGGTTAGCTCAGTGTGAAAAGCCTGGGTTCAACACCCCCATAAAAAAATAAAAAGGTGTCCTGCTGCCTCCTGTGCTGTCCTCCTGCTGCTGTTGCAGGGTGGAGGTCTGGGGAGAGCCCCTGACCTGGGTGCGAGCTCTGCCACCTCCCCTGCCAGGCTTCTCCTTTCCTCCAGAGCTCTGGCCACTTGCAGACCTGGCTTTGGACCTAGTTCTTTCCTCCTCCAGCTCTGCTGAACACAGTGTCGGGTGGGGGCACAGGAGAGGCAAATGCCCCCCAGGACGGGACACGGGCATGTTCAGCAACCTGCTGGGCAGTGCGTGTGAGAGGGGGGGCAGCTGGGCGCAGGACGGGCCGGGCACGGGCTGGGCGGCTGG